CCACGATCCTTTTTACCATAGTGATTACTTACAGCAGGGTGTCGGTAGTCGACGCCGGAGTCGATTACAGCGACCTTAACTCCCTTACCAAAGACTCCCGCTTCGTGAAGCTTGTCGACTCCGCTGGAGTAGTGTATCGACCAGTTCTGGGCTGTCGCGTCGTCGCTGAAAGAAGCCTGCGGTGTGAGAGGTGCGAGCTTGTAAGTCTTGACCGGCCATGCCTGCGAGACTTCTCGGATGCTCTTCAAGGTGTCCAAGTTGTCGCTGCCCGATTCAACACTCAATCCGGAGAAGATATCACTATTAAAAGATTTGAGAACATTGGCACTCGTGGCCTCAATCTTCCGGGATAGGTCGGCGAGTTGAGCGCCCTGAATATACTTTGTCAGCGGAGGATCTTGAGTAGGAGCCTCAACTTCTCACGCACTTGTTCGACTTCGACGATGAACTTCTTAGTTTCCGACAGAGTGGCGTTCCGAGTGCCATCTCTTCTGCGTCTGGGGTTTGGGGACGCGTGAGCGTTGGTCAGCCCCAGGGCGGCTGCCCAGATCAAGAGAGCAAATCGCATGATTATGAGGCACAAAACACTGAGATTTCGCCTTCAAGCCAATGTGCGAGGAAGCTTGCAAGGCTTCATATTTGAGAAACTCGAAAGAGAACCCGGATAGCACCCAAGATGTGATTCTCGTGTCCGTATGCGCATTAGCTGTTATCCTTGCCGTGTCGACTTCCTGTCGTAGCATCTGAATGCAGCATTTGGCAGGTTGCAAATCCGCCTTCTAGATTGGGATCATGGCTTCCAGCTATCCCCTGCAGCCAGGGCACACAAGGTTGCAATGCGCGCTGTAATGGGGCCAATCTTCCGCTCTTGGTGCATCGGGTTCATTTAGAGTCCCTGCTAGAGCGGCTTTGCCAAGGGCAAGACGGGTCCAAATAGCGCATATTAACTCAGTTGCATGCGCTCCTGGTTAAATCCGGTCCCTGACGATCCGGCTCAGTGCGAGGTGAGTTACTTGTTCTTCCTCCACGGCGAGCCGTGATATCTTCACATATGCCACATGTGATCAACACTCTCTGCAGCCTTAACAGCCCATTACATTTGGTATCAGTGAGGCTGCACATTCGCCAAAAATTAGGTACTTCAGCACTAGGGCTATACAAAATAACGCAAAAAGATACAGAAGCTCTCCCCGAGGTGGGCTCGAACCACCAACCTCCAGATTAACAGTCTGACGCGCTAGCCAATTGTGCCATCGGGGAATCGGAGGATTTCTGGTTGAAGGCATCACGATGGCAAGTGGATTATGCTGCGGAGTCAGTGTGCTTGTGGGACGACTCAAGCCCTAGAAGCGAGAGGTCCTTGATGGAAATGTGGAACCGATTATTGACAAAGATGTCGTAAGTGCAGCATGAGTCTTCTGAGAAGACAGCGAGCCGCTTGAAAGGCATTGCAGGCTGAGACGTTAGACTGTTCGTCTGCGGAAGAATGCGCGAGGTTTGGCTGTTTCGAAGACATTCCTCGTAGCCAGTACGATAGATAGTACTGGAAGCTTGGCGAGGGCGGTCCAGGCGCTTGACATGACGCAAGAATTGTGAGCGATTAGCTTCAAACCAACCATGCAAAAATGCAGAAACATACAATCCACGATGGACTCTATGACAGGCTCCATTTCGTGTCATCAATAACGGTTGGCTGTCCAACACAACGTCCTTCGGCGCGGGGACGGGCGGGCGGCCTGCCGGCATGCGTTTAAGCTTCCGGGGCTCTTCGGGGCGCGGACATGTACCACACCGCTATTTCCGGTTAAAGCCCTACCTAGGATCTGGCGGTTTTCTAGTATAAGCTGCCTGAGTAATCGGCCTTCGCTACAGAGGTGACATCATTCGTGCACCTCCGACGGCTGATCCCCTCTGTGATTACAAATAGTGACTTGAACGACCGTCCGCGAGTAGTGCAATGGCGGAGGCCCAAAATAGGCCATGCCGCTTGAGTAAATCATTGCTCCAACCACGCAGATGCTACTCCCGGAGACTATCGGATTATCCATGGATGGAACACACCGCTTGCAGACTTGGGTGACATAAATGTGTTGTCAACCCAAGTGAAAGAAAAGCATTCAAGTAAATCAGGTTGATTGGCTTATTGAGTTCTATCATTAGACCCATCACAAGAGAACTCGAAGCCCGCTCAATTATTATCCCTTCGAAAATGGCACATAACATCCTGATCACTGGCGCCTCAGGTTACCTTGGCGGCACCCTACTTGCCCGGTGGGAAGAAGCCGGCCTCAGTGGTTATGACAAGCTGTTTGCTCTTGTTCGAACAGATGCGCAAGCTGAAGCTGTTAAAAGTCACGGCGCCGAGCCTCTTTCCTTTTCACCGAAGAATGAAGTTGCCGTCAGAGACGCGGTCGTGAACAACCGGATCACGATTGTGTACTACCTGATCGACGCCCTCAACTCCGCTGGCCAGAAGAACTTTATCAAGGCCTTGGCAGAAGTGAAGCGTCAAACAGGAGGAGACGTTCATTTTCTTCATGTGAGTGGTACGGATTCACACATTTGAAGTACCATAGTTCTGACGATTGTGCCGCAAGACTACCGGGGCCAAGATTTTCTCGAGCCACGCTGGTGCTCCCACAGATCGCCCGTTGCACGACACCGACCCAGATCTATACAGTATTCAAAAGGCGCAAAAGGCACCCGTCCCAATCATGCAAACGGTAAATACCGATCGATAGGAAGGTCTTAGATGTGACCGCTCTGACAAAACCCAGGCTGTCGACACCAACAATATCGTCATTGAAGAGGCAGCTGCACAAGGTGTGAAAGCATACATTTTTGCTCCCTGCATCGTTTGTAAGTGTCTAATCATCAGCTGTTGATAGGACTAGCTTCTGACGAAATGTGCAGATGGTAAAAATGAGGGCTTTGGGAACCCCATTTCAATTCAAACCAGGGATATTGTCAAAGCCGCCAAAGCCGCTGGTCGTGTTTACTCAATCACTCCAGGACGACCGGTAAGCTTCCACCTCGCTGTGAACCTCCACGTACTGGATCTGACGATGGTAGACTTGGCCAGTATGCCATGTTACAGACAACGCAACCCTCTATCTCCAAATCTTGCGTTCCATCCTGAATGGTGACAGTCCTGGCAGTGGCAAGAATGGTTACTATTTGGCATCCGCTGGTAGCGTTGAGTGGGATGATCTCTACGTGGCAATGGCCAAGGCGCTTTTCCAAAGAGGAGTCATTTCCACCGACGAAGTCATGAAGGCTGATCAGAAAGCAGTCGACATCATGGCTGAGGGTACGGGCGTGGATGCATCCCTAGTTGAGATGGGCTTGGCTGGAAAGTGAGTATAAAACCCCACGCAACAACCGTGGTGATGGTCTCTGTGGTATGCTAATACACTTGCCCTCGCGATAGGTGCACATTCACATCACGACGTGGCTGCCAGATTGGGTGGAAAGCTCAGTACCCACCGGAACACATCCTCGATACCGCCGATGCGGAGGTAGAGCTAATCCTCAAGAATTTGGACTAGATGTGAAGCATGGAATGGTTGCGGTGTTACGTTCAATTGAACATCCTTTTCTCTACGGATGGAAAGTAGTGCTCGTGTTAAATCAAGGCGTTATTCTACAGCTGGAGTCATAATATTGCAGAAGAAGGCGATCCAATCAAGCTCCCCGCTAACTAATCAAGTGCGACTGCCTATTTTCCCTGCTTCTCCGATATTTTCGGGGCTTTTGATTGGTGCTTTTCGTATCTTTGCCAAAAGTTCCTGCAGTATGTCAGCAATGAGGGGAACGCATACCGTGGACCGTCCACGGCAACGAGGATCCGTTGATCGGCCCCGCTCGGGATTTGTCACTGCTGCCTACGCGCTACATCAGACACTTGTTGACACCTTGCATCATGTCGTGCCATTTCAACTCCTCCCTCACTGTTCTTTGATCAATATTTAAACCCCAAGTGTAAATTGATCTCAGTATGCCACTGAGAGCTCGAGAAACAAACAAGCACAACATGTCCGGGCAACTCATCTTCTTTGACATTCCTAGCAAAGACGGCACTTGCTGGTCTCTGAACACTTGGAAAAGTAGGCCATTCAACCAGCGGACAAGACAAAAGAACTAACGTCCGCAACCAGCGCGCTTGGCCCTCAACTTCAAGGGAGTCGACTACAAGACCGAATGGCTCGAGTATCCTGATATTGCAGGCCGACTGGAGGCGGCCGGTCTCAAAGGTGACCCCGACCAGATCAGGCCTTTCACCTGCCCCACTGTTCAGTTTCCAGACGGTACATACATCATGAACAGCAAAAAGATCATCCCCCGCATCGAAGCCGACTACCCGGAGCCGCCCTTGTACCACGACGCAGAGCTATCTCAAGAAGCGCTCAAGCACATCGCCCCGGTGTGGGATGCCTTGGCACCTGTTCTTCTCCCGGTGGCTCCACGTGAGGTTCTGGACGAGCGCAGCGCGGAGTACTTCTGGCGAACACGCAAGGAGTTTCTGGGCATGAGCCTTGATGAATTTGAAGAGAAGAACGGTGGCGAAAAGGCGTGGGCGAAGGCTAAGAAGCCTATCGAAGACGCTGCTGCTCTATTGAACAAGACGGAGGGGCCCTTCTTTCTCGGAGATACGGGTAAGTCGCCCCTGCCAGCAAAATGATCGGTGCTAACAAGACTCAGTTTCTTACGCCGATTTTCTTTATGTTGGCGTCATAGCAATGGCGAAGAGATTCAACGAGGAGAACTATCGCCGTATTGTTGAAATCTCGCCCGCATTTGACAAACAGTACAAGGCTTGTGGCCCTTGGCTTGAGAGAAATGATCACTGAGCGAGGAGAGTGATGGGACAGTTTGTCTCACATATCGAAGTCTTTTACTAACAGCTCTTTCTGCTTCTTGGAGAGTTGTGGATAAATGATACAAAAGAAAACTTCACATGTACCCAACTAGCTGAAGACCAGATGTAATCTCCCACCTATCTATCGCCTTTCCAACATGATGTTCCGCTCGTCTCCGAATGCATCGCTTATGTATCGACCAAGATCGCGGACGAGCCTCCCCGGATGAATCCAGAGATACAAAGCCATAATGGCCACCATGAGAGCAGCGTCGAAGGCATACACAAAGAACTCATGCTTTATGATGTATCCGCCATCTCCCTGGAGATACTCGATTCCTCTAACCAAGCTCCTCACAAACATGAGGAGAGCCACTCCATACGTCATCAAGTAGTACTTGTTCCAGTTGATCCCAGCGTGGGTTGCATTTAGATTGGGCGCCTCGCGCTTGGCCCATCGATGCGAATGAGCACAAGAAAGCGCAAAAAGGCAAATGACGCCGAGCTGCGCAAGCAAACCACCCATGATGATTTTCTTGCTCAGATCTATGGCTGATGGGTCTCCGGAAGCTGGCATGACGGATCCAAAAACCTGGCTGACGAAGCAGCCGATATCGACGATGACGTAGAAGAAGGCAGTGAGCCGTGGACTAATGGCGGCATGCCGTCGAAGATCGAGGGCTATGATAATTCGGCCGAGACTAATGTAGATCGTTGCTGCGAAGAGTGGTGGGGATCCGAGGATGAGGAGGTTCTGCATGATGAAGGGACCGACAGCAAGAGGGTTTTCGGAGGCTTTTGCGCGACCGTAGTAGCCAAACGCCTCACCTATGAGATTATTAGCCAGAGGTTTGCAGACGAACCTTTGACACAACATAGCATGCTTACCGACGCCGCCAAGTATGAACGGAAGAAAGTGCCACGCACGAAGCCAGAAGAAGTAACCCAAGTGCCCCACGACACCAATAGAAAACAACACCACAGATGTCCAGGCGGCTCCTGCGTTGGGCCGATATTCATAGAAAACAATCTGTGTGCCTTTTACGACTGGCCCAAAAGGGCCATCGCCGTCGTTCACCATGGTAATGGCAGTAGTTGAGGAGAATAGCTTGGCGTGCGGCGACGTCCGGAAGATGGTAGAGAAACAGCTACAGTAGAAAGATGAAAGAACGGTATGAAAGGGAATGAAGAACTTAGAGAACAAATTGGAACTAGGCGCTAGAAACCGCGGCTCTTATCATCAATGCTTCACGATTCAGGGGGGGCGGGCCACTGTGGCAGTGACACGGCTTTTTCGTATTCAAATACGAGTTTTCGGATAAGGGAGAAGACTCGACCTCGTCTTCCATCAGAATATTAGGCACGAAGCGCGGTCTCCACCGAACTGAGCGAGTAATTTCTCTCAATAAAGATAGTGCATGGAGTGCTTTGCAGCATCTTGCATGTTCACCAACACATTGGTCCTGCGGAATCATTTTTGGTAATTTGTACGCATTTCTGAAGCTGTGTAGTCTGCCCCAATACGCTGCAGGCCTCTCTTGTAAAGACTGACTGGCAAAGCAATGCAACATCTTAAGGAATGAACTTCGTCCTTGGCCAAGGTAATATGCAATAAACCAGAGAAAACAGCTTTCTCGCCCCCGCATAATAAGTAGAAATGGCTGTAGCGACCGATGTTGAGGGAAATAATAGTCCCGTTGGCGAATGTGTAATATAGTTCAGACACTGATGGGCTGGGGCCACAGTCTGTTGGCGATACAGCCGCTGTCCGATCACAAATTTTGAGCTGCGGAGTTGATTTCGTTGGCGTGAGTCTGCAGACCGGCTTGAATCATGGGTTTCGCAGCAGATGAGCCCAAGAAGTCGGCCACCTTCTTGAACATGTCGGCCCATTCCTTCATAGCCGAATGTAGCTGATTGACCGACTCTGGGGACTGCTGCGTAGAGGCGTTTTTAATGAGCTCTGTGATCGTTTTATTCCGGAATTCCGCAACTTTTCCGATCTGCTGTTGAAAGTAGTTGAAAACGGGCATTTGCCTCGAGCCGACTTCAGTATCTCCAAAACTGTCCTTGTCTTTGAATTCGTGTAAGGACCACGAAGTCCAGTCCTTAAGCACACTTTCCAGAGACGGAACATTGTTACTGACTGCTTCGGCTTGTGTAGCTGCCGCCGCCAATCCAGGATTGTTGAGAGCGAGCCTGGCAAAGATTCTAGCCACGGTCTGCACTCCAACGTCATTCAGAGCGCCTTGGACAATCAAGCCAGCGGCCCAAGAGGCGTAAGCTGAGGCTGTTACCAACGCAGCCTCGATTTCCGGAAGAAGTGCGGCGGCTCCTAGCCATTCGGCAACTGGGGCTAGGAATGGTAGAAGCATAGCCATTTTGGGCGGGGTATGTGTGCAGTCTGTGGTTTCGGGCAAGGGATAGAGCGTGAAGCTCGGTGTGTGATGTATGACTAAGTAGATAAGTAGAAGATGGTAAGTTGAGGCCGCATGTTTTCATGCAAATAATTGCTCACAGGTGGTGTGGAGGAATGGTATGAGACTTCAGCAGATCAAGCTGGCTACTTATACTTCAGCATCAATGGCGGCTACCAGAATATGACACTAGGAGGCAGACCAGAGCGAAGGCAAAACTTTCATATTCCAGAGAACATGAAGCGATCCCCGCCACTCCTTTGAGTCTTAGGCGACAAAGAAAACTCACAGTTCTCATCATGAAGAGCCGATATGTCATCCGCTTTCGTAAAATCACGGTGCTCTCCTGGCTTGAGACACTCATGACAGTGAACTGCAACTCCCGACATTGCCCATGGTCGAAAGGCATTCTTCCTTGCGACATGATGCTATAGCTGTCAGGGAGAAGGGCAGTTTGTTGCCGCTCTAGGCCTCGCGTCATGTATGACTCTAAGACTTTCAGGGTCTTGTCTCGCTACATCCCGCGTGCCGCTCCAGCTCACCAAATTTCTGGACGGGTGCCCAACGCTATGGCGTTAGTATGGCGCACCTTCATAAGACATGCTTCGGCCCATTCCATGCCAAGTCTTAGCTTGTTCAAAATGACATGACGTGTTGGCGCATATCAGCGTTCAGCTGAACTTTTCAATGCCTGTGATTGATCGATGTTAGAAGAACGAAGGCTTCCTGACGCCTGAAGAAGCGGCTAGGAAAACCCGCACAAGTTGACAATCACAATCAAGGCGGTTCATGTGAGATGACAATCTGCTTTCGTCTTCGTTTTCAGCAGAAAATGCAACTCGATTAATCTTATCACCAGCTAAACCAGCCATCTGGATTAGATGGCGGGCGTGGCCAGCTGCATCGACCTTACACTACGCCTCCGAGTCAATGGCGGCCTATGGAGGTTACTAGGGAGGTCTTGGCATAGCGAGCATATCAGTGTGGTAAGTACTATCGTGAATAGAAAGCTTTCAGACTCATCATGAGATCCATTCCTATCTTGAGAAGCCACACCGCAGATTGAGCAAATTGGCCTGGCGCATTTCGGCATAAAGTTGAATGAAAATAAACATGCAAGGAGACGTTTGTGATGCATGTGGAAACGAGAAGTCTGCCCCAAACTAGCCCAAGGTTTGATAGAATGAGACGAGACACAGACCACAGGGGGTCTCCCTTGTCGATTCGAAGGTTGCGGAATAGTTAAGTTAACTTGGGCGAATACTCTTGGAACGTATCAGTAGAGAAGCTGCTGATCACTCCGAATTCCCAGCCACGCTCCAAAATCCGTCGGATTCTGACCGTTTTTGGAGGTGCCTGCCCATTTACCGGATGCCGGTACAGCCCATGAGCTGATGAGTAAGTATCGTATGATACAAGTTCAAGATAGCTTAAGACCACTAGCTTTTTGTGTCCGAGGGCTTGTCTCAACAATCGGACTCCAAAACATGTATGTTGATTATTAAATGTTCCTGCCAGAGACTGGGCAAGTTAAGCAGTAGTCTCAAGCTTGGAAGATATAAACGGTAGTCAGAAATCTACTTTCAGAACGCTCTGGGGCTCTGTTCGAAGCTAATGAGCTCAATCGTGCCTTGGCATAAATTTGTCCCTGAAGATGCTTTCAACTCGTCAGAGGCTAGAAAACAGAACGACAAGCGGCCAAGATTTCAGCATGGATAAATCTGTTTTAATACAGAATGATCTGACCGAGGAAAGTAACAGCGAGAATTGACTATGAACGTATTGTTCATTGCAATCTTCGGAGTATTACTCTCGCGGTTTGGACGTCTAGTGAGATATAACAAGACTACAGGAGTGTTTGACCATACACATTGGTCAATTCTCAGCGTCATGAAAAGTTGAATTTAAAAAGACATCTTGTTCAACCTTTGGACTGTATGTAGGAGATCTCGGAAGTACACGTTACATCCTGGTGACCCAGCTTTGATGACAACAGAACCCCTTGGCCCTGCGAATTCGCCGAACCAGACTTGGTGACGTTGAAACTTCTGCGTCGCATCAATTCGGACCTTTCCACAACTAGCGCATGTTATGTGAACTATTCATTGGGAACCAGAACTGCGGGATCGATGTCGTAGTAAGCTGTTGAGTAGTGGCTGCTATACGTAGCCAATGCCTCGTCGGCTCGGAGAGTGCCCGGGCTAATGCCCGGCGAGATGCGTAAAGTCGGGCGTAGGATTCGGCCGGCAGATCAGATTTGTTCTCGCCATTCGGGCCTTGCAAGGATGCAGTGAGCCGATCCAATCTGAACGGCAGCTGAGCGCGGATACCCGCAAAGGCAAGCATCCATACAAGGATGGGGGAAGGATAAGCGCCAACAGCCACCACTCCCCGCGTTGGCAAAAGGCGGATATGTAGCAGAACTGTCGCCCTTTAGGCTAAATGCTATTGCCGGTGGTAATCGTGCTTGAAACATGGGGTTTGCGGCCACGCGGGGTAGTCGTATTCTTTTGGGGACTTTTCGCTAAGCTGGGCGAACAAGCTCGCATGAGTATTGTCCAATGAGCAGCCTGAGGTTCCTTTAGCATGTAGGGCAAAATGGTTCACGTTGGGATGCCGATGCCTGTCACCGCAGCGTTGGGTCAGAGTCGCACCGAATGTGGCAGGGTCTTCACGAAAACGTACCATAAGGGCATAAGATCTTCAGATGCTTCTGTGGTCTGGCAATATGCAGCTGAATCCTGCATGGACGTCGCATTTAAGTAGGCGTCTTCCCCATCAATACTCAAGCTAAGCTTTCGGTCCACTTCTCTATCTTTTGCATGTCGCGTCTTTGGCCTTGACTGGGACTCCCCAACTTCCAGTCACAGCTTTAATCCAACCACCGTCAGGCTCGGCTGTCGAAGACTGACACTATGGGCGGCCATTCTTCGGGCAACGCTGCCTACGATGCGGCTTTACAAAGAAGACAAGCGCTGATGGGCGCCAGTGGTGCCAGAGCGCTCGTGAAAAACTGGAAAGTCGCTCGCATTGCAGCCTTTGCCTGTATTGGAGGCGTTCTCTACGGCTACAATCAGGGCATGTTTTCTGGTATTCTCGCGATGCCATCTTTTGATAAGCGTGAGTCAATTGACCCAATGACACGATGCCTTGAACTGACTGTGGTGCTGGTTAATTAGACATGGGCGGATACACAAGAAACCCTACCCAGAAGGGATGGCTGACATCGATCCTCGAGCTTGGAGCTTGGGTTGGCGCGGTTCTGTCGGGCTTCATTGCCGAAGTTTGCTCACGAAAATACGGCGTCCTCATTGCAACTGGAGTATTCATACTTGGTGTGATTGTTCAGATTACCTCCATCTCGGGAGGTCACGAATCGATTCTTGGAGGACGTTTCATCACGTATGTGCTCCTCTGGAGCCGGTAAAGTCATCATCGATGCTGACTCGACCAAGAGGAATGGGCGTAGGTAGCTTGTCTATGATCGTGCCGCTCTACAACTCGGAATGCGCACCGCCAGAGGTCCGAGGTGCTCTTGTAGCTCTCCAACAACTTGCAATCACCTTTGGCATCATGATATCCTTTTGGATTGAGTAAGTATCTTGAAGGACTTGCCCTATGTATGTGTGTACTGACACACGTATCTAGTTACGGTTGCAACTAC